CCTCAGCTCTTCAGCTCAAGGCTAGCGCTCTACCACTTGAGCCACAGCGCCACTTCCGGCTTTTTTTCTTTTTGCTTACGTGGTGCTGAGGAATCGAACTCAGGGCCTCGAGCATGCAAGGCAAGCGCTCTACCACTGAGCCACCTTCCCAGCCCCATGCAGCCGGCGGGGCGGCGGCTCACGCCTTCAGGCACAGGTGGACAAAAGAAGTTTACAGCGGAAAGGGCCTGTGACTACCTTGTCCTCTCCTGGCCTCCCGTAGGCAGCGCCCACCCCCGACCGTTCTTAGTCGGTCTGCGAACCTCCAGCCCTCCGCTGCCCACAGGCCTGCCCTGCCCCGCCCCGGCAAGCGTCCCCCTGCTGCCGTCCCTGCCCTGACTCCTGCTCTCGCCTGACCCCGGGTTTTTCCCTCTCAGGACTCAGTCTCCTCCGGACTTTTTCCCCACTGCCATTCATGCTCCTCCCCCAAGCTGCCACTGTCCAATCACTTCCTGACAGCTCGCCATGTGGGGCTCGGCCCCACCCCCTCTAGTAGCACGCCCCGCCCCCTTCGATGGCGTGCCCCTCCCCCTCGGGCCTTGCTGGGGCCCAGCCCTGTGGGGCGGTGATGTCAGCCTCTCAAACCGGGCCGGGTCTGCGGATGCCCTGCCCCTCCAGCAGGCCGGGCCACGGGGCCAGCCGGGCTCCACGGGTTTTACAATCCTAGCTACTCAGGAGGCTGAGATCTGATCACGGTTCACAGCCAGCCTGGACAGGAAAGTCGGTGAGACTGATCTCCAGTGAAAAGAATATACCCTTTGGGCTGGGAATGTGTCTTATGGTAGAATGCTTGGGTAGCACTCGTGAAGCCTTGGGTGCACTTCCTCTACCACGTGAACAACCACAGAAGCCAGCACTGTGACTCAAGTAGTACAGCACCAGCCTTGAGCCCAGCGGGGCTCGTGGACAGCACCCAGGCTCTGAGTCCAAAAAGAAAAGTATACACTTTACCTGACTTATGTAACTGTAACCTCTCTCTATGTTGCTTTTACAGCAATAATGAATGCATTTTAAAGAGGGATGTATGCTTTGCTTAGTTTTCTCATCTCAACCACAGTACAATGTTGCAGACTCCTGCCCACAGGAGGGGCATCCCAGGAACCTGGCAGATGCGGGTCTGTTCTATTTGACAGTCAAATGCTAAACAACTGATACCACCCAGTGTGCCACTGGTAGAGTGTGCCCTTTTTTTTTTTTTTTTGGTCG